ATATATATATAACAAATCAAATCTATAATTTTAATAAAATAATTTCTCATATTAGTTGTCTGATTTAATAAATTAATTATTGACTACTAATATTGACAACAAAAAAATCCAGTTTGTGTTTCAATGATTGAGGAGTGGTGTCCTTATAATTTTGACACTCATTTGTCTCAACAGGCTTTTAATACGTTTATCGATGACGTTTTTGCATTCATCATCACGATGCCCACGTCACATCGGTTAGCGTGTTTCAGAGATGACGTGGTGTTCCTCGTGTACCTCTATCAGAGATGGTGAGGAGCCACAGTCGAACACTGATCCAGAGCTGGTGTTTAAACTCGTATGGGTGTTTTATGAGATGTTGATGTGGTTTCAGGCTCTATCCAGTGGACAAAACCAGAGTGAACGAGTACGGCGTGTCTTACGATGAAAAGCCCAAAGGAAAATCCCATAAAGATTGACATCGTCACAACAGAACAGCTCAGCATTATCTTAAGATCAGTTCATGGATTCAATAACAAAAGACCAAACCGCATTTTGGCTCAGTTGTGCTCTGCTAATCAGAGAAATGTAACCGGCTCGACTGAGACACTCGTGCAGCGTCCGGCAGTGCATACGGTTGCTGTATCTCGTTGAATTATAGGATGAGAAGTAAAATATGAAAAGCTTGGTTTCATTTTACAGAATGTATTTTGATGGGACCTTTAATTCAGTCTCAAATAGTGTTTTGAAATCAAGACCATATCACAAGGGTGCCAAAAAGACCAGAGTTTCAGATTAATTATCAGATTTGCTTTGAATATGGATTAATTTTAGTAACATAACTGTTGGTTGTGTGTTCAGCGAGAATGGTGTACGTTTGTTTTTGTGTTTCATTCCATTAAAAGTGTTTCTGCTTAATCACAGAGACTTCATTAAACAGTTTATGCCTTCTGCTGCCTTCATTTTATTTATGTAGCTTTTATGCTTTTCAATCGTTGATTTTTGACAGCATTAAATGAACAACTGTCGCCTACTAAACAATCTGATATTTATAAAAATAAGTTTATTTATGAAAGATACATGTGCATAAAACAAACAAACAAACAAAAAAGTACTGTGGTATTACCATGTTTTTTTTTTAAATGGTATACTTTGAAGTACCATCTAAATATCGTGATATATAGTAATTTTATTGTACCGTAGTATTAACATCTAATGAAATCGCTGAAAGGTTTTTTAAGTATTAAAAACGAATTTTTCTTGAATTAATTCATATATTATTTTTCTGTTGTATATGAAATACAACAGAATTTTTAATATTGTTAATATTTTATTGTAATGTTTTAAAAACTTGATTTTGTGTTTCACTTTTTTATGCATCTAAACCTGTTTTTATACAGTCTATGATCTAAACGCACTCTCATAAACGCGCGGATACATGTCTATATATATAAATAAATAAAAAATAACTGACAGAACAGACGAGCCAATCACAGCTTCAGGGCTCTACTCTGGTTCCGCCCACTGAAGTGACGCACAATACTATATAAGTCATGGCTCCGCCCCTTTTCGGCCCTTTCCGCTCACTGGCATCGCTGTGTTTGAGGTGCTCGGTTCTTCTCACGAAGCTAAGGCCTTTGAATCCGGCGACTAGCACCATCAAATTTAGGCATCCACGTCTAAAACAGTAACCTGCCGAAGGAACAATGGCATCTGTGTCCGAGCTGGCCTGTATTTACTCCGCGCTCATCCTCCATGACGATGAAGTTACGGTCACGGTGAGTGTGAGGGGTTTGAGCCGCGGCACGAACATCCGGGACACCGGCACTCGTCTGTTTATATGACGCTAATGTGATTTTGAGTGGTTTACGTTTCTTTTTAAGTTGGGTTTGTTGCTTCGTGTGTTATTAGAATATAAATCTGATGTTTACGTGTGAACGCAAACTTTTGAAGTCGTTGTGGGAAACTACTGCTACATTCGCACAGAGACTCGCTAGCATTTTCTGTGTTCCAATGTTTACCACCTTATTTTACACTCTTATTCAGGGTAGAGTGTGATTGTAACCATGCAGTAAAAAGTATTACTACCTGGTAACATCCCTGTACCATGGTAATGTCACAGTACTGATGTTACTGTAGTTATGATGCCCATCTGTTGACCATTGTATGGTTAGTTTTTATAGCATGGTTTTTACATGTATTCTTCCAGGACTAACATCATATGGTACCACCATGTGTTTTTTTTTGTTGACAGTACTGTGGTATTAGCATCTAATGTATAATGACTGTACAATTGTACATTGTTAGCAAAGCATCCATGCACTGATGTTAACTGTCTCTGGTTGTGTTTTGCAGGACGACAAGCTGAACGCTCTGATCAAGGCCGCCGGTGTGACCATCGAGCCCTTCTGGCCCGGTCTCTTCGCCAAGGTGTGTTTATTTCCACCTGACGCATCCATGAGGGCGATGGAAATGCCTGCATGTCATCTATCCAGTTAAATGTGAACGTTAAGGAGTCAGTTGTGCTTAAACGTTCATGTCATAGTGCGTCTTAAGCTATAAGTGCTGAGTGTATAAGCGTGCTGAGCCTGATGTAATTCCTGTGTTCAGGCTCTGGCCAGCGTTGACATCGGCAGTCTGATCTGTAACGTTGGAGCCGGTGGTGGAGCTGCTCCGGCCGCCGCTGGTGGTGGTGCTGCTGCTGCTCCTGCAGGTGGAGACGCACCTGGTGAGCTCACGCTCTCATTCAGATGGCATCCACGTGCGTTTGATTTATTCACTGAGATTCGTTGGCTCTGAACTCCACTTCTGTTTTCATTACAGCCAAGGAGGAAGAGAAGAAAGAGGAGAAGAAAGAAGAGTCCGAGGAGTCTGATGACGACATGGGCTTCGGTCTGTTCGACTAAAGCACCTCTTTTAATAAAAAACATTGAAACTGTCAATGCCGTTTGTGTTGGTTTTAGTTAACCAAAGTATCCACTATTCAAAGCATTTTTAGTTTCACATTTTTCCTGAAACCTAATATAATGCTAATATGATTAACTTCTGTTTTAATATAAAATGAAGGCTTATTTTTTGGGTAACTTTACAATACGATTTCATTTGTTAACACTTCATACCTTAGATAATATGAACTAATAAAAATACTCAAGCATTTATTAATGTTAACTTTGGCATTTACTAATACACGACTCAAAAGTTGAATGTTAGTATTTCATGGATCTGGAGAAAAACTAAATGTTGACATTAGTTAATAAAAATATTGCTGTTCAAAGATGAAGACTAATATATAGTGCACTAATGTTAATGCATTTATAAATATTGTGAAGTGTTACGATCTCGTGCCATACATACGTTCTTGCATGTGAAACTTCAGGTTCTAGAGAACCATCCACCTTAAAAAGAGAAAATACATATTTCTTTTGTATATGTAGTTTATAAGGAAAAAAATAAGCTTACATTACAGCCAAAAAAAAAAATGTTAAAAAAATTAAAAAGAAAACATTTACTCATGTTATGGTCATTCTACTTTTGTTCAACATGTCCTTATATAACGCTTACCATTTTTCGTACACAATGCAAAGGAATAATATTTATAACAAATATAAAAATAAAATAATTTTTTAAAAATCTAGTTTATAAAATATATAAAAATACAAATACAATTTAAAAAAAAAAAAATGAAAATTTTTTGTTGCCAAGAAAATATGAAATTTGTTGAAAACCCATGATTTAGCCAAAGCATGTTCAGTTTAATCATGATTTTGACGACTGTTTCAAAAATCATTGTCATTTCAGAGCATGACTAGAATTTTTTTCTCAACAATTATTGACTAAAATACATACTAAATTGAATAATTAAAACTCCTCAACTCAGTCATGACCTTTTATTACTAACCCCAAAAAATGAAAATCAAAAGGACTAATAGCAGTCCAGCAGAAATAAGCCCAGGACACCTTCAGCTAAAGATAATAGCATTTTATTAGTTAAAAGATCTGTACAGTTGCTTCTTCCTGAGAATAATTTATATTAATGACAAAATGGATTTCACGATTGTTCTGTACACAAAAGTAATTCTAGTCCAAACTCAAACGGGTTACATCAACCCTAGTGTGGTAAAAAATAACAGAATTAAGTCTTTTAAAATCAATTCAGAAGGCAGCTTTGATTATAACAATTTACCAATATGTGCTTCAAGTGACTGATATGTGACTATATTGGCTTCGGAGTCCAGCGTAATATGATGCTCACGTCAGGGCAGCTCAGTTTCATACAATCGCTGTGAGTCCTTTTAAAAATCTGTTAAATATCACTGTGGTTTGGCTTTGTGAGTCTGTACATGCGAGCGTATGCTCGTGTCTCGGCGAGTTTCTCAGGACGTTGTTAAAGCACCTTGATCACTTTGAGATCAACACATCGACGATATAAAATCACATGTAAGCCTTTGGATCACTGGAAAACCATCATTGGAGTTCACTGGGTTCCAGTTGCAGATTCTCCAGCGCTGAAAAAAGTTCATTTCTGGATACAAAATAAAACATGATGCTGCTAACGGTTATAAAACAATACGTCTGCGATATCCTCTCCACTCCACCAAATCCCCAAGAATCTCTATTATAAAAGGTTTATGCATGTAGCGTCTGCTCGGTTGAAGGTGTCCTCCGTGATGATCCAGCATCAGGAGTCAGTGCATCTTCAGCCGCGCCTGGTCGATGACGTCCAGCAGGTTCTTGGCGTCGACGGCGAGCGCGTGAGCCGCGGTCAGCATCTGCTTCTTGTAGTCGTGCTGCAGGCTGGTCAAGACGTACTGCTGCGCCAGACGCATCTTACTGATGAGCTCCGCCAGGTCCGAGTTCAGGAGCTTCTGAGCCATCTCGATCTGACACAAACACAGCACACAGCACACGCGTGTTCAGTGGAGGAGAGTTTACAATCGCACTGCATGATTAATCCAAACAAAACTTCTGTCAAAAAAAAGGAAGCATTAAAGGCTCCCTGCATTTTTTTCTGAAATTAAGAAACGCTTTACAGTTGTACTGTAAAATTAAATTATTATTATATAATTTTTCTAAAATACTTGAATTTTATTTTACATCGAAATATTTCAATAGTAATATTAATTATTGTGTTTACTATTTAATTTAATAATAATAAGAATATAATAAGAATAAAATGTAATAATGACAATATCAAATAATAATAAATAATAATAATTATTATTATATAGTCATATTAACATGTATCATGTAATCACAACATTTTGGGGCAAATGGTGATATATATATATATATATATATATATAAAATACACCAGAATGAAAAAAAATAAATAATTC